AGTCTTTGATGTAATTTGTTATTTCGAGTCTATAACAAGATAGGTGGATTACAACTCCATCATCTTGATTTAATTTTCTGTACAATTAGATTCAAAATTTGTGAGCCTACGGGACATAGAAATTTATGTAATTCTTGTAATTTTTGGATCTTGAAAGTTGATTGGAGATTGAATAAGAAGACTTGAAGACGGAGGGCAAATAATTCAAAGATTTGCATTTAATAAAAATAGATAAATTTCGGATGGTTTGACTGCCTGCGCAGCAGACAGTCATCTGTCTACTGCCGACAGCAGATAGAGAGCTATCTGCACGTGCAAATTTCGTCTGTACGTGCATAAAGATCCAATTTATTTATTTATTAAATAATTTCAGGTATAGTGGCAGAAACTTCCTTGCTATTTTTGAAGAAGTTGCAGTTGAATGCTTGGAGATTTTGGGCTGGAGACTTAGATTATGTTTTGGGCTTTGGTCCAATTTTTTTCCTTAATTCTTGAGTCTTTTAGGGCCACAAATAATTGTTATTTTTATATCTTTATGAATATTTTTTAAATTGTTGTTTAAAATATTGTCATTCTTGATATCATAACATATAAATTTATTTACGATATCGCTCGTGATATTATGAATAGGATGCATATCATTTAACGCGAATTTTTCTTTGATTAATTTAATTTAAATTAAGTTTTTCTGGATAGAAAAATCGTAATAATTAAATTGTATATTAATTTAATTAATATGAACAGTTGGTAATTGTTAAAATTCATTATTTTAAAATATTGAGTGGGAGAGAGTGTTTTAAATAAAAACTCATGGTCTCCTTTGATCAATCCATAAGCAAAGTAGCGCGCTTGCCTCGTGCCGATAATGCAACAGACTCCCTATAGGAGGGCCGCGTGGTTCAAGTTGCTCGATCGGATTTCTTTATAATAAAATCGTTTAAATAGAATATAATTTGTGATCATCCTATAGATGACGAAATTATTTTCAAGTGTTTAGAGATTGAGAAAAAGGTTGTACACTCAAATGGAAATTATTTACGAACCTCCCATAGAGGCTCTCGTTTATAATTTTGGTGACCAAACAAAACGATGCTAAGTTTAATATAGACATTTGTTGTCAGATATATTTTGTTTAGTGCGAGGGTCTAAACTTGATCGGTGGACACATTAACCTTTCCTATAGAGAGGCATGTTGGATCATAGGGATCAAGTCATCATTACATTATTGTAGTTAGATGGATCTACACATGCATTCATGTATCATATGCTAAATTCTCATTTGCTGCTCAATTTTAATATGCAATAAATTGTTATTTTTCAGCAAAATGTCTCTCAACGCTTTTTTCGTAATTATAAAACAAAACCAACTTGTCGAGGATAATTATGTGGATTGGAAACGTAATTTGATGTTTGGGCTTATTGACGAAAAACTTGATTTTGTTCTCAAAGAAGAATGTCCCTAGAAACCTACTGAGACTACAGGCAAGTCCAAGAGGGTTGTGTATGATAAGTGGATCGATGTAACATTTTGGCATCTATGTTAGACGTGTTACAGCAAAAACTTGAAAGTTTGGAGACCTCTTATGACATACTAGAAAGCCTGAAGGGCGTGTTTGGACATCAAAGTAGGAGGGCTCACTTTGAGGCCATTCATATCTTACAGAACATCTGCATGAAACCGGGAACGCCTGTGAAGGATCATATGTTGACTATGATTGCACACTTCAACGTGGCGGAGAATCTGGGTACAACTATTGATCAGGAAACTCAAGTTGATATGGTATTAAATTCTTTATCTGATATGTGTTCACAGTTTACTGTGGACTATCACTTGCACAAGATGAATATGCCATTAACTGAGTTGATGAATGAGTTGCAAAATGTGGAAA